GGACGGGCAGCGCGGAGAGGTGGTACATCTCAACTCTGGAACGAGTTCGGGTCCAGTAAATGAGGATTCTTCAGTATCTCCAGAGACCCGACGGGTGGCTTTCCTTTCAGGAGACTCTTCCCCCTCTTGAGAGAGGCCTTGCAGGCATGAAATGGCTGGTCAGCCCTGTGAGCCTTTGCAGGCGAAGGGCCAGCCTTCCTGGTTTCTGGCAGGCGACCGAGGTTGGACGGGAGCTCTGGAACGAGTTCGGGTCCAGTAAATGAGGATTCTTCAGTATCTCCAGAGACCCGACGGGTGGCTTTCCTTTCAGGAGACTCTTCCCCCTCTTGAGAGAGGCCTTGCAGGCATGAAATGGCTGGTCAGCCCTGTGAGCCTTTGCAGGCGAAGGGCCAGCCTTCCTGGTTTCTGGCAGGCGACCGAGGTTGGACGGGAGCTGGGCTCCGTGATCCAAAGAGGCCCTTCCAGCAGTGCAGCCCTAAGATGATGGTGGAGTCCCGAGAGTTTCTGAGTCAGTCGAGTTATTGCACCGTGAACCGTCCCCTTCGGGTTTCCCTGCACTGTTCTCTGAGTTTAGCTTGGAAAGAGATGGATCTGTCCTTCCTGCTTGCAGTGCCACATAGTTGAAGGGGATCTGGTTGCCAGTGGGGAGTTAAGAGCCATTCCGGTCAAAAAAGACCTGCCCTTGTGTGTTGTTTTGATTGACTGTGTACCGTTTTCTTCTGGAGGAGGGCTTTTGGTGGCTGCCATGGTGAGCGTGGGCACTTTCAAATTCATCACTGCCCTCCTGCAGCCCAGGCTGGAATTTTGGGAGGAGAGCCCCCTCCCACTTCACAGAACTGCCCTGGTGGTTAGGAGGATGACCTTGTTTGACTGATTCCTTAGGTAGGGAGGCCAGCGCCTCTGTTGCTGGCCAGTACCTGTCATCCACTCCCCTGTGATGTTAGTTTGAAACCCTGCTGCGGTTAGTCTCAATCTTTAATTGCTTCCAAAGGACAACTTGCCTAGCTTGGTGGATAGGCTGCCAGATTCGGATCCCTGCTGGGTGGTGGAAACTCCCTTGGGGGGATCGGCCCTGGGTAGGACCTCCCTTAGACACCTCACATACCTCGGGGGGCCCTTGAAGGGACCTCGTGTGCATGCACAAACAGCTCCCCCCCCCAAGGGCCGCCTCCTGGGCAAAGAGGCTGGTCTCTTGCCATGGGGGTCGGTTTGCATCCAGACCAGGGCCCGCCCTGAGCAGCCCCCCTGCCCCACAGTTGCCCACGGGGGATGTCTCTAGGGCTGAACTGGCTCTTCTCTCCCCGGCGTTACTGCAAAACCTGGTCTTGTTCCAGTAGAGGTGAAAGGGGGGGGCAAGCACAGTATCCCACCAGCTTCTTGAGCTAAAGGACCCAGGGAATGGCCACCACCCCCCAACGTGAAGGAAAAGCCATTGCCCTCTCCTCTCCTGGCCGTCCAGTTCTGTCTGTGCTCCTGCCTCCAGCCCTCTCCAAGCGTGAATCGGCCCCCTCTCTTTCTAGTGGCCCCAGGACAAATCCGGATCTGTGGGAGTCGGGGCTTCCTCGGCAGGCCACCCGCTTCCTGGCTAAGCTGTACCCTGTGCAGAATCTGTCTCTGTCTGCCAGCCTCCCAGGCAGGCGGCTGGGTAGAAGGGGTGCGCTGTCCCCAGTCTCTACCCACCCAGGGCCGGCAGGTGTTTTAAATACTGTACTTATTTAGCTTAGCTGCTGTGGCCATTGGCGAATCTTCCTTGACAGCTTTCGGAGGGGGCATCTTTTCAGTGGTAGAGCTTCCCCCCCCCAGGGACCCTTGTCACCTTCTGGGTGCCAAGACGGGCTTGTTGCCCCCTGTGGTCAGTGGGGGGGGGCTTTTTGCTCTGCTGCTTTCTGGGTGGGTTTGCTTCCTCTTTGTCCCTGAATTTCTATTTGGGACTCTTTCCTGTTTCCTTTTATACTTCTGGGAAGATCTTCCTGGAAGACGGAAGGCAGAAACTTCAGGGGAAGCCTTTCTGACTCGCCGCCCCGGCCTTGAAGGCTTCCGTGTCGGGCTGTGTCTTCCTCGGTGGCAGAGCCTGGGCGCCCCTTCTTTCATGGGCTCAGGTTCCCAGCGTGGCTGTCGGTGGTGGTGGTGGTGCTGCTTCTGGCCTGGAGGGGGCCGGGGGAGGGGGCTCCCGGGCCTCCCTCGCAGGCCTGCCTCCTTTCTTCCAGAGCTGGTGGCCTCCGTCTTTCTGAGGCGAAAATGGTGGCAGGGCCCTTTTGCCGCAGTACCAGAGGGTGGGCCCGCGTCATCTGCCCTCCGTGCATCTGCTGCCCGCCTGTTGCTTCCTGCTGCTTGGCTGGAGAGCCGGTCCGCTAGAGGGAGGGCTTGGCCAGAGAGAGAGAGAGAGACGGACGGGTGGGGGGAGAGATGCTCTCCCGGCTGGTGCTTGCTCTCAGGGACAGGGCTGGACCAGCGCCCTGCAGCCTGGCTGCTTGGACGGGCGCTTCTCCCTGCCGCTTGGAGCGTCTTGGCCCTTCGCCTCTGGCCGTTTCATCCAGCTCCTTGTGATACTCCAGGATGGAGCTAGCTGCGAACCCCCATTTCCACAGGGCTGGGTGTGTGCGTGGGATGCCCAGGGCTTTGCTCTCTGCCCTTTGGCGGACTGTGCCGCTCCCTCCCCCCGGCTTTTTTTTGGGGGGGGGCTAAGCCTGCTGCCCTCCCCTTGACGGGGCAGCCCCGCCCTTCCGGTTCCTCCCCATTGGGCATCAGGGTGGGGAAATGGAGCACCTCCAGTCTTGACTGGTTTCGGAAGCTGAACAGGGTTGGGAGACCTCTGGGTGCCCCCGAAAGAGTTCTGCCTGAAACCCTGAAGAGCCGTTTCTGCCGGCGAGGCCGTGTCCTGTCGCCTTGCGTCTTGTACGTGCCTTGGGCCCCGGGGGGGGGGGGATGTTGCTGGTGGGGGTTGCAGGGACGGCCTCCGGGTCTTCCCTTGGCCTGGAAGTGCTTTCCTGAACCCCCACCGCTTCTCCTCCATGGCGGCCTGGCGGACGGTGGAGCTCCCGCAGCCTCCAGCTCTTCCCTCCGGCTGCCCCCTTGCTCTGCCTCAGGCCTCCCTTTCCACCAGAGACTCGGCCGGCCGTGGGCCTTTGACGCACCGGCCAGGCAGGCCCGCGGGAGCCTCTTGTGGGTCTCTGTTTGCCGTTCAGGGCAAATCTGGCCCCTGATTGTGGAGGGCCACTGACAAAAGCTGGGTGCTTTGATTCCTTTTGCTACCTCTTCTGTTTAATGATTCTTATATTTCCGATGTTGTGATTGTTTTCAGATAACTTACTAACTTGTGTTCTAAAACAAAACTGGTGTATAAAGTTTTTGAAGAGAAATAGAGTGATTTTGTTGCTAAAATAATGAACTTTCTGCTCCTTTAATGTTCCCCCCCCCATCGTTCTAACCTGGAACAGCCTGTTATTAAAGCCACATGGTACAAGCCTGAGCTAAACAAGGGCCAGAAAGCCACCCTCTCCTCCTCATGAGGAGAGGTTCACTGAGAATATGAGGTTCTAGTTCAGTTGTCCTCAAGTGCGTGTTCACTTCCAAATTCAATTTTTGTTAATTTGGGGGATTGTTATTATATCAGCTGAGCGCAGGTGCCCATTTGGCCAGGAATTAATCCAAAGCAAAACTTCTTCTCTTGCAGGAAAACACGCGGATTGTGAGGTTAAAGGTTGTTGCTGGAATTGGCCTCGCCAAGAAGGATCTCCTAGGAGCCAGGTGAGCGTGAGTTTTCTGTGCGTTGACAAGAAGGAAGCTGTCCCTCGTCTCCTCTGGAAATCTCTTTGGTGCTTTTGTACAGTTGTGGTGTCCCACGGAGTGGCCTTCGGTCCTGATTCCAGGGCTCCCTACTCTCCCTTTTTTCCTGCTTGGTTCAACTCCAGTACTGGCTACATTTTTCAAAGCACGGCGGGCTGTGCAGGATTCATTCATTCATTCATTCATTCATTCATTCATTCATTCATTCATTCATTCATTTATTCGATTTATATCCCGCCTATCTAATCGGTTAGGACCACTCTAGGACCTGCTGCCTGTTGACTCTTAAAAGGCTGTGAATAACAAGGGCTGTAGAGTGCCTGCAGGTGACATGGCGATCGAGAGGTGTTTGAATTGCAGGGAAGCTAACACTAAAGAGAGGAATTTGCTGAGGTTCTTGAGACATTTGCTGTTCCGAGGCCTGCATCTGCCGCTTATGGTTCACTGCCTTCGTTCCTGTTGATGGCCTCTGCAGGATCGCAGTGTTTGAGTCAAACAGCCTCTTGGTCTCTTAGAACGGAGGAAATCTAGCCGCCTTGGTGTGGGGTTTTTCCTGCAACAAAATAATTGGCACAGATGAATCTGTAAACATGGATCACTTGATTTGGTTAGGATCAATTTCCAAATCTCTTGCAAAGCTGCTTCTGGATAACAGTGTTCAGTTGTTCATTCTTCTCTTAACACAGCGATCCCTACGTGAAAGTGACGGTGTATGCATCGGGGGACAAAGTCCTTACCAGTGTTCAGACCAAAACTGTTAAAAAGGTTGGTTCTCACACTTTCTTTCGTAAGTAATTAGTGAAAATCAAGGATGTAACTTGGAAAGTAACTGCCCTGCTGGGTCCTCATCATTTACATTTCGTGCAATACTATTAAAGAGGTTGTTCCCCACAGAAAATGCTACCCATACATTGATGAAATGGTGCAGACATGTAATTAAGTCAGACCACAATACTGTATGTGTCTGTGTACATATTTGATGTATCTACCACCCCATTAATGCAAGCATTACTCTGGCCAGTTTACAGGTTAAAACCTATACTCCACAAGACCCCCCCCCCAAAAAAAAACATATACTGTAATACATTGCAATACAGATATGGAAGCAAATCACACATATCTGATATATACCTGTTATGGTTAGATTTTCTGCAGTTAGTACAATGGAATTAGCTGTGCAACACTTCTTAAAAATGTGATCAACAGAAAACAGGTTTTACCAGAGGACAGTAGCAAAGGTTTGTTATTAGCAATCTTTTTTCCTGAAGCCTTTTTTTTAAATATTGGGCAGTAAGGATGTTTTTTTTCTTCCCTTCCCAAGGCTGCTCAGATTTCATGTTCTTGTCTATTGACGCATTACTTTGCTCCTATATTTTAAATTGTTTATTTTATATGTTCTTAGCCGCCCAGAGTAGTCAGTTGACTAAATGGGTGGGGTATAAATTCAATAAGTAAATAAACTAAGAGTCTGGAGCGACACCTGCAGCCTCCTGCCTTCCATGTCCCTTGTCTGGTGCTCCCGTTTTGTGCCTCCTCCTCTTCATCGGCATGCCTTTCCGTTACCTGAGGCACTTCCAGCAGAGGTCCTGGCCTCAGACCCTGGGGAAGGGCGGGGCCGGTTCAGGTGGAGGCTGCTGGACCGCTCCGCCCCGGGAAGAGCGGGTTCCTTATGTGTATTCTTACAGTTCTCTTTCTCTCCTTGTAGACCTTGAATCCAAAGTGGAACGAAGAGTTTTTCTTCCGAGTAAGTGCCCGTCATTGCATGTTGGCGTGTCCGAGTAAGCGCAGTCGTGGGCTCCTGGTTCTGTGTCATTAGATCGTGTGGTGCTTCTCCCCTGAAGAACCGGCTAACCAAAGGTTAACTGTTCCTTCCAGGTCATTCCTCAGAAGCACAGGATCGTCTTCGAAGTCTTTGACGAAAACCGTTTGGTAAGCTTTTTTCCTCCTCCTGCTTGCGATGCTTTGTGGTCGAAAGAAATTGTGATCTTATGCAATTGTTCTCCCTTGTGAATGGAATTTGGATGGGTTACTCGAACCACAGCCGTGAGGATCCTGCCTCCAGGCAGTCGTTTTGCTTCTCTGGCCATTCCCAGCTTTGGAGGTATTCCTGATTTCTCTGCTTTGGAGGCTCCCTGTGCTTGTTGAAACCTTTTCCTAGTAGTCGGTTTTTAGAAAGGCAAAGGATGGAGAAATGGGCCCTTCCTTGTGCAGGAAATACTGGAACGGTTGCCTGGATAAAAGGGCGTTGAGGGCATCTCCCCTTCAGAAATGTGTTGCTGGTCAAAGGATTCTTCGGCGAAGTGGGGGGGGCCTCTGCAGAGTTCCCCCTTTCCCTGCCCTCTCGGAGGTGCCCCTTGTGCGTTCCCTCCAGGTGCTGCCATGTTAGTGACAAGTGGCATAACTAACGGGTCCTGGTTCCTCCCTCAATCGAGCCAGGGGGCTGCGAGGCTGGCCCGTGGATTAATCTCTTGAGTATGACTGAAAAAAACACTTGTTCCCCTCCTCTTAGAGGTTATAAAATGCTGGCTTACTGCAAACGAGCTGAAAGTGTAGTAAAGGTTAAATAAATACCAACCAGAAGATACTCAGTCATGTGATTCACGGAGGGATAAATGGCGCACTGTTCTCTGCTGCCTGTGGTTTAATTCCGCATTGCTTTTGGCAGGGCCCAGCCGTGAATTGTGTGTCGCTTCTGGGTCTTTAAGTATGAATGTCTGCTGGCTGGTGCCGAGGATGGAATGGGGAGGGGGGGGGCGGGGGCGGCAGCAGCAGCAGCAGCTTGGGAAAGGAGCCCAAGGGGCCAGAGCAGAGTTCGCCTGAGCATCAGCAGCGCCGCCATCGCAGGGAAAGGGCCCGAGAAGCGACCGGGGGTGTGGTGGGGAACCCCAGGGCTGTCACTCGCTCGCCGCTCTCGGGTCTTCCCAGATGTGACAGGAGCAGTTTTTGTGGAGCAAACGGGCTCGCGCAGAGGAGCCGCTCGGCTGGAGGGCGCGAGAGTGGAGCTGTTCTCGACTTGGCTTGGCTTCCTGAGCGTTTTGGAGCATGGCTTGGTTTGGGTCCAGACCATAATGGCTTGGGGTCCAGACGGGGATTCGCCTTGTGCAGACACGCGCATGGTACTCTCGTTATACTTATATTCTTTTGATACTTATATAAAAAATAGTCCGCAGGGTTTACGCAGGGCATGTGGGAACACACAGGGAAAGGCACCCCAGCCTCGCTAGCCGGGCTGCTTTCACGGGGCCCCCCTTCCTTTTTCAATCTCTTCTCCTTTGCCTCTCCTTGAAGCCCACCCACCCACCGAAGCGGCTCAGGCACGAGACCTGCTTTCCTCGGGCGCTTGGAGCTGCTTTCGTAATGCTCTCCAGCGCCAGGCGCCTGCTGCTTCTCTTATGTGGAGTCTCGCTTACTACCCTGATTAATCTTTCAGGACTGAATCCTAGATTTGTTAATTATGTGGAACTTCATTCCGGCCCACTTCCTGTAACTCTAAACCCCTGGGTAAAACTATTAGTGGCGGCACAAATGCTAAAGAAAGCACAGACCTGGACTCGGGCAGGGCAGCCGGAGGAATGCGTTGCGAGAGAGGAGCTGCCGTGGAATTAATTTGCCGTGCAAGGACCCTGCGCAGCAGCAGCAGCAGCAGCAGCAGTGTCAGGACAGGAGTCAGACAAGGCTGTGCAAAGTAGGAGGACATATGATTTTTTCTAATAATTGTTCTTTGATATTGACTGATTAACTTTCAGTTTGCTTCTTAACTGTGTCATTTGACAAAGGTATCAAGGAAAGGTTCTTGGCAGCCCTCTTGCTGATCAAT